CAAGCCCAAAATAGCAAAAGTTGCAAGACAGGAAAACCTTCTTGCTGGTGTCATCTAATGGAATAATTGACTCCCAACAAGAAGAATCTTTAGAAGCCAGTATATGCAATATGATAAATATGTATATAGAGATATAGACATTAAAAGCATTATTCCCATTCCTCATCCTCTTACTTTTTCTGATCGTTCTAAGAAAGAGATTGTCATTAAAAATAATATTATCTAGACTGGAACTAGCCTTGCATTAGGGGAAGGGATGGGAGGGTGGATGAGGCTTTGGAAATTGGGGTAGTTCTAGTTTCATGTTTTACAAATTGGAGAATTCTGTGATGAAAAAGAAAAGATTTTCAGTGACCTTTCTCATTAGGAGGTGTTTTCCTTTAACAAGTGCCCCCTACCCCCTTTATTTTTTGTTGCATTCACTCGTACTGAGAGCTGCTCATGGGATCACCTGCAGTTTTAGGGCACCTGAGAGAAATCAAGTTATGAGTTGCTGACAAACATGTCACTGTGGCTGATAAATGAGAGGGAATTTTATCTGAGCAAGACTGCAAACTCAGGCCCAAACAAGCTCTGGATTAGATTACAGTGTGTCTAATTGCACAAAAACTAAAGGACAATAATGTTGAAAAACTGCTTGCAGAACACGCAGATAAACAAAAGTACAAGCCTSTTACATTCCTGCAGCAGCCAGCCAGCAAATACAAGACAGGCCAACACATTTCTACTTTTTAAGGAGAATCCCATAAATACCTGGGATGCAGCTGGATGCAGCATCTGTCCATCTCACAAAAATAAACTGATTTCTCTCCAGCAAGGCAGCCAGCAAGCATTCCAGAGCGTGTTCAGGCACCGAGCCCTGCCGCTGGCAGAAAGGTGAAATCAATGAGCACCCCAGGGCAAATCATGTTTGATCCTGACCAGAATCTCTTTCCCGAAGCTTGCAAAAACCTTGGTGTAAGCCAGCTGTCAGTGCTGGATAAGGCTAGTTCAGGATCCACTCACGCTGGGAAACAGCCATGCCCAGCAGAACGTATTCTCATGGTCCTCCATGGTCACGTATTTCATGGATCAAAAGAAAAACTATAGCTTTTGAAGTGAAGATTTCTGATGGGAAGGATTTTTCAAGAGGATTATTTTCCAGTGGAAGTAACTTCAGACTCTTTGTGTTTTCTTTCTTTTAGGGGGTAGCTCCCTGTGCTTCTCTCCCATCTTCTGCAGAGAACAGCTCAGGCTGTTCCCCTTTCGAGCTCCGGGGAAGCTGGAAGATGCCCGGAGCAGCCAGAGCACCTGCCTGGCACCCCAGCAGGTTCCCCAGAGCTGTCTCTCCTGTCTGCAGCACCCGCTTCCAGAGCCCGTCCCGTCTTTGTGATCCCATCTGAATCCAGCTGGAATATCCCAGCTGGATCCAGACTCCCTCATTGCTTCTCATTCACAGGGTTCCCAGAATACAGTTTTAGAAGACCTAAAGCTTACTGCTGTAAATTCACCTACATGTTCCAAGTCTGCACTGTCAGCTAAAGAGATATTTTTCCCCATTAGGATGAGTTAGGTTTTCCAAAGATTTTCATGTAGATGTTTGCTGCCAAACACAGCAGACATAAGTGGAAATGAAATAGGAGAGTAAAACGGCTACAGAGCAAAAATGGGGAAGAGGAGGAGTGGATGAAGGCAGAAAGCAATTTCAGTTTTACGTATCAACACCGCAAATGGACAAGGTCTTCAGTCACAAAGATCACACCCTTTTAAAATTAAAATGAAGACTGAAAATCCAGGCCAGGGCCAACCAACAGCCCCAAGGAAGATCCTGTTTCCCATACAGGGAAACCCTAACCCTGTTAATAGGCATACATCTTAAAAGATGCAGTAAGGCTCTAAATAGAAATATGGTGCAAAGTGCTTGCTTAAGGAATCTGCAACCCATAAACTACAGACAATATCCTAAAATTGCTGATGTGTGTGAAGGATAGACTCTTTTTTTCTTTTCTATTCTTATGTGTCATAAGAGGTTAACAAAGCTAGACATGCATCCAGATATTTGTTGTATACCCATTTCCCATTCAACAGAAGGAACTTATTTTGTAATTCTTGCTTTTCTAGGATCTTTCCTTAAAAACTGCTAAACAAAATGAACTAGAGTAAACAGGCAGAAAAAGCGAACACAAAAGCCAGCGTTTTACCTAGATAGCTAATGCTATTATTGCTGGGAAAATAAGACATTATTTATCCGCTCCTTTGTAGTGTGGGCTTAATAGTATAGATAAGATTTCTAGCGGTTGAGATACAAGGGCTGATTTGACAGACACTTTGTTGTTACCAGATACTCTTTAAGCAGCGAGTCTATGAGAGTTTACAACCACTTGGGAAATACACTGATTTTTTAACTCTAACCTCAGTGGTACAAATAACACCCTCTAGTATTTAGGGTCTTGATTGCTTTTTGTCTTTTCATATTTTGTAGTAAAAGAATTATCTCCTCTTTTTATCTCCTCCTCTTTCTGTCCTTTCCCCTTCCTAAAGACCCTCAGGCTTCCTAAAGACCCCTTCCCCTYGCCATCTCCCCAAGGAAATGAAGGGCAGTTTTACATACCCGGTTGCAGGATCTGTTGTTTTATTTTAAAAGGGAAGTTTTACCATACTATGATGATGAACAACGTAATCTGCTGTCTGCAGTGTTCTGTTATCTGCAGTCTTCTGTTTTCATTCCTCTTCTGGGCAGATCCTTCTCACTTTGTTGACGGGTTACCAGGAATCTTTGCCTGAAACTACTGAACAAAAGTAGCTCTGACTTACACAAATAAAATGGTAATTCCACTAGTGGCAATGCTAGAGTATGGCAGGGGRTAAAACTGCAGTGCTTAAACACAGAGCAGTTAAAAAAGGAGTTAAACAACGCAAACTTGTGGTGTTTTATGAGATGGGTCTGCTGGTGTGCTTTGTTGAGAGCTATCTACCTGCTTTTCACAAATATGCGCACACAAATAACAATTCCCATGTGGAAATCCTCCCAGGGACAGTCAAGAGGATGGCAGGCAGTCTGCTGCCCCTTTCTCCTTGGCAGGAGACTCTGCGTGGCTGCGCAGCCTCGATGCATTCAGGAACGTCACCGGGAGGAACAGCCCAGTGTTTGGGAACGTCACCGGGAGGAACAGCCCAGTGTTTGGGAATGTCACCAGGAGGAACGGCCCAGCGTTTGGGAATGTCACCAGGAGGAACAGTCCAGCATTCAGGAACATCACCAGGAGGAATGGCCTGGCATTTGGGAATGTCACCAGGAGGAACAGCCTAGCGTTTGAGAACACCACTGGGAGAAACGGGCCAGCATTCGGGAACAGCACTGGGAGGAACAGTCCGGCTCACGCGGGAGACGCTCCTTTGCCATAAAGGGGGATGTGGCTGAGCAGCAGAAGAAGAACCAGGCAYAGGGTGGACTCTTCCCCAGAGCGCGAGGCTGAGGTTCGCTGCCTCGGCAGCCACTTCCCAAACCGCTTCCCAAACCACCTCCTGAACTTCAGCGGCGCCGCTCCCTCTTTGCTGCAGGGAGCTGGGCTGCAAGGGGCTGCTGCGCTGCAAACCCATGCAAAGCRAGGAGGGGTTTTGCATAACAGGCAAAATACCAGCCCCGCTGTTGACAATGTCTTTGCATTGGGCTTTCGGGGAAAGCCAGTGGAGAGTTACAGGCAAATAAGGGCTTCAACACAACCCTGCAGTCCTTTCTCACACAAACCAGAGCCAGAAAAGGCAGGGCTGGGAGATAAAATGGGGCTAAATATCTTCTTTGCTTCGGCCAGCTGAATTACTGGCAGAAATGGAAAATTCAAAGATAAGACTTCAAACCAAATCTRTAGATTAAGGAGCAACATGGTGATGAGAGCAGTCAGTGTTTATCACGGATGTCTAAAGGAACTAAAGCAGTTGGACTGATCTGCTGAAAATGGGTAGCAAAAATGTGTTAGGACATAACAAGGTAGAGGACAATTTCTTGAGAATAGTGGCTTGGAAGAGAAGTCATTAGGTAAAAAAGGAATGTGGGAGAATAAAATGGTCTTCCTCTTAGCTGTTTTCAGCTGGGACCTGAGAACAGAATGTTGAGGAAATAATGAAGAAAGAATTTAAAACTGTAGAAAATTAATTTGTGGATAATATCTTCCTATTGCATGTAGCAAAGTGTGTTGCAGTTGACTGAAGTAGTCTTGGCAGCAACATTCCTGAGGTAGATTGGACAAATCCCTTCCCTTCACCTATGTTGAAAGAAGATCTCCTAGATTCAGATTTATGTCTGAATGAAATTTTGAGGGATGGGAGAAGCAAAGTTCCTAGGCAGGACCAGTAAATTTTTACTACAGAAGTTTACATAAATTGGGCAAACCGTCAATGGATGTTCCTTCTTTTGGGGGGGGGCATTTGCATTCAATAAATTAGAAACAATTATTCACTATGACAATGATTTCTGGTTTAAAACCTCTTCAAAAGAAATGTTTTGAATGCAGTGTAAATGGGAGCACAGCATCCTTGAAGATCTTCTGCTAAGGAGGAATCTTTACTGCGTATGGATGATTTGTTCTTGAGCAGAAAAAGTACCATTTCTTCATTTTATTCAAAATTATAGAGTTGAGTCAGAATCCTACTTGAACTATGTAAAGCAGGCTATGGGATCTTCAYAGAAAGGGTCAATATTTTAAGGTTTTCACCTTTCACTAGAAAATCAGAAAATGTTTTAGGAAGAGGCCACTAGGTGAAAAAGACCATTGGGGGTAAAAAAAAMCAGCTATTTTTCATAAGTGATTCGATTAATTTGACAGGGAATTTACATGGATTTTTTTTTCATGATGTGTCTTTTTTAGGAATAAAATAATAATATTGATGATGCAAGGAATGGTGCTCCGTAGCACTCCGCAGGAGCCCAGGCTGGTTGAAAGGGTTKTTAGCTCAGGAGCAGAACCGGGAGCAGGGTCGAGAGGGGATCCCAGAGCGGTGCCGGGAGCGGGAGCAGCATCGGGATGGGTCGGGGAGCGGTGCCGGGAACGGTGCCGGGAGCGGAGCCGGGAGCAAGATCTGGATGGGGGCCGGGAGCGGAGCCGGGAGCAGAAGCAGCATTGGGATGGGTYGGGGAGCGGTGCCGGGAGCGGGAGCAGGGTCGGGATGGGGGTCGGGACCGGTACCAGGAGCGGGGCGCCAGCTCCCTCTCGCGGTAGCTGCTCCGCTTCGTTCCCGGGCCGGCTCCCGGCACCTCTCCCGGCTCCGATCCTGGTCCCACTCTCGACTCTGCTCCAGGCACCGGCTCCTGGTACTGCTCCCGGCTCCGCTCTCGGCCCCGGCTCCACTCTCAGCCCCGGCTCCGCTCCCGGTCCCGCCCCCGGCCTCTCTCCCGGCTCCGCTCCCGCACCGGCTCCCGAGGAGCAAGTTGTGCAGCTGGAGCCCCGGGAAGAAAGGGCGCCGAGTGTCCGAACGGGGAATAGCGGAGAGCCTGGGACAGCTGGAGAGCCGAGCAGCAGGACAGCAAGCGCCAAGCAGGGCTGTCCCTATGAGCCCGCACGGCTGGCAAGTGGCTGCGGCGCTCCCGCAAGCTCACAGCCTCTGCCTTCCTGCTCCTGCGCTTTTGAGTCACTCCACAGAGTCTAATTAAACCATTTCTAAAAACCAGTGACTTTCCCATCTCCTCTCTTGTCACTCATTTCCTGATCCAAGAGTGATTCAAGCTCAGAGATTCACTGTATCCTTCCACTAAAGATCCACTGTATCCACCCTCCTGGAGGGCAATTGCCCTCCATAGACCCCTTTTCTTTCTTTCTTTCTTTCTTTCTTTCTTTCTTTCTTTCTTTCTTTCTTTCTTTCTTTCTTTCTTTCTTTCTTTCTTTCTTTCTTTCTTTCTTT